CTCTCGATTTTTCTAATTTTTAAATCCTTGACTTTAGTAAACTGATAATCATTCTGAACTAATTAGACTTTAGCATTGGAATATTTTGGTTAAATTAAAGAATTTGACTTAATGTAAGATAGGTTATACCTAATTGTCATGTTTCAAATAATGAGATTCAAGCCTTTTTTTACCTACTACATTAATACAAATTGGTGTCTAGTACAAGATAATGACTATAGATTCCTAATCTTTAAAGATTAGGGGTTCTCAAAGTAGGCCCGGTTTGTAAAAACCCGGTTGACCCAGTTGACTTTTTGGCTGTGATCTGTCAAAAAATGTCAACTCGATACACAAGGTTACTGCCAAAAAGCAACCGGGTCAACTGGGTTTTCTTGAAACCGGGCCAACTTTGAGAACCCCTATTACATGTGAAAAATATGATAAATGATAAATCAGAAAAGATCAAAAGCTCTCATTTTGAATGAAACTCAAATTCATTTACTAATTTAAATCATTTCTCTAGTGGCTTGTCACTTCAGACTAGGAAGGCTTCAATATTAACTTCTTTAAAATACTTCTCTAATGATGCAAAGTAACTTCTGAGATTTTTTATACTGAATTACAAGCTCATGCTGACAAAATCTTCAGACAATACAATCAATATCTTGAGCAGAGGCCAATGTGCTTCATGAAATATAATGCTTTGAAATGATTGGATTGAACATGTTCAGATGTCATATACCGCCATGTAAGATTCCTGATTAAAATGTAGTCTTGGAAATCGCCCAGAAAGTTAGGGTTCAAAGTTAGAGTAACAAGGTTCAAGTAAGTTACATCCATTCAAAGAAAGCTTGATTTATTTTTTCAAATATGTATTCTGTCCATTGCAAAACTCTTACTATTGGTTTTATTGAGTTTTTTCTTTTCACAAGCTTGATCAATATGCAAGGGAGAGGATCCTTCCAACAATATCATGTGTCCTTGTGACCATTCATTTCAAATCTTTTGAAATACACCTGATAAATCTTTTATGTATGATTTTTTTTTGGTTTTATGGCTCGCCACAAGAACAACCTTTTCTCATCAGTCAGTAAGATTTTACATAATCAGGCTGTGGCAACACACACATATGAATTGCGGTTAAGTTGATTTCAGAGGAAACTGGAAAACCCAGTGACAGAAGTTTTATTTGCTGCGCTGATGAGCTTTTTACAAATTTCCTATCAACTATTCTTGCTGGAACAGCTGTAAAAGTAGAAAGGAGAAACAAATTTGGAAAGCACAACCAGGATTGGTTTTTGAGGACTCATTGCTTTCCTTATTGTGGCTGAGATGAAGTACAAGCTTCTTTACATCAAGGGCAATATGGTGGACAATCTGATGGGCCAAACTTGCTACATATATCTGCAGAAACAAATTTTAACACCAGTGATAGAGTCCATTACGCACTGTAGGGGTAGGAATAAGAGGTTTTGGGGCAGTCTTGGACAACAGGGCCAGTAAACATTGACAAGAGGAAGGTTTTCTCACAGAGAAGGAAATTTTTTACCTCCTCCTATTTATTGCTCCCTCTATCCTAACTGTGCTCCCTCAAAACCTCTCTTACACTGAAAATATAATGCATTTTTCAAGGGTGAAAAATTACAGCCGTTTCAAGAAAGGTTGACAACTTTTTTTGGAGAAAGTTGTCTCCGCAGCGGGTAAAACCAGAGACAAAACTTGATTTACAGGTTTATTCTTTTCTGTATTCTTCCAATTAGCGGAGAGACAAAATCGGGTGAGGGACAAAACAGGACAAAACCCGGGTTTTGCACATTGGCGAGATTTTCAAAAAAAATCTATCTTTGTTGAAACAGCTGTACATGTAATCTCGAACTTAAGGGACTTAGTTAAGTTCGATGTAATCTACAAAAAGATCAAACATACAGTAGTCCTCCACCCTCCTCTCTCGAAGTTGCTTAAAATCTCCTCATCATCAAAATCAATTCTGTCACTACAATTTCGCTTTCTCGATGAAGCATCATGTTCGTATTTTTCGTTTTTGGAGACGGGATTTCCTCCGATACCTGCTGATTGATCACAAGCAGTGGACAAGGATTGATAGCTGTTCCAGTAGAACTCACCATCCAGTTTCGATCACATACATCTAGATTTCAAAAACGTTGAGGTTTTCTTGAGTAGTACTCCCATCAAGGCCTTTCTTATATGCAGCTCAAAGCATACAAGAAGACCAATCGCGAGGGTCGAAGCTGAGGCTGATCTTGGAAGGGCAAGACGTTTTTTGGTGGGCCAAATTCATGCGAGTCGCTTTCCCAGTTTGTACTTGGCTGGAGATAGAGGTATCACAGTACTTGAAGATGAGGCTTGATACCAAGCAAAGAGCTAGCAGTACATCAACGGAGTCCCATCCATTTTGTATGGATTGATGCACATTCCCATTATCAAGACTGTGTACTTTCAATCCACCTACAGATTGCCTCTCAGTCGCCGGCCCCTTTGAACAACAAAATACCTGATTTGTTTCTGGGTGTATATGAGAGTCTGGGAGAAAAATCCCGATATTGAATAAGAATCAAGCACACGACTTTTGATTATATCTCCTAGCTCAGATGGAGAAGACCTGGAAGGCTACTCACAAAATCCCGGTTCAGATCTTACTCGATTTTGCATGCGATCAATGCTTCATCAATCCAAATAAAGACTACAATATTGGGGATCGGGAGAAGACCAGACAACAGAGAGTTCTCTTTCAAATTTGGATAGTAATTGTCGAGTCCAAAGAAAAATGTTGTCGTCAAACAGCTTCTTTTCAAGGATTCTTGTTGAGACTCTTGAAGTCATGATTTGCATCTCTTGTTTCGGCTTGCGGATGGATTATTGGTCTTTTAATATAATATATATCATTACAATACTGATCAGTGATGATGGCATATCATCTTTGCGAATGTCAAAATAACTTTGTTACTCCTCATGCCACGCATCCCAAATTCTAAGTCCTAGAAACATCGAACATTGTTCATATATCAGAGTAAGCATGAGATGAATAGACGCGCGTCTGCTTTGCATCGCCCCGGTATCATGTCCAAAATCTCCAAGAATTGAACAATTACACTGAACTTGTTGCAGAGATCCTTTTCGTCCGCTGAGAGCTGACCCTAGGACTTCATTAAAATCAGAAATAATTCCCATTTCAAACCAGCGAGAAACTGGGCCTTAGCGGCTTGGGCGAGTACTTGACCAATAGCTCTATCACGTCGGGCTTCAAAACTTTGTGACCC